CTGCGAGTGCTGGACTGTGCTGTCCGAGGTGCAACACAGGTACCACTCTGTCTGAAGCATTGGTAGTAACTTCTATAAAGCAATATAAGCAATGACACATTGCAGCCATTTTACAACTGTGGGTGTGACATTATCTTTCATTTGACAGAGCTCAGACAATAACATTGTAATACCGTGTAACAGGGCTGTACACATGTTTATTTAGTATTGTGTGATATTTAGTTAAGTGCGTTATTCAGTATGAGACATTTAAGAGTGGGTTTTTGTGTGTGTTAAAGCACGACAAACTCATGTTCTTGTTTGCCCTTTGTTTTATATATTTTGTTATTGTTCTGCCCCCTTTGTTGTTTATATTTCATTTTGCATTACATTTATTTCTCACATAAATGAAGCTAAACACTGGTAAAAACTGTAGTGAGTGTGCCACTCAAACATCAAAGCCATATCAGTTCAAGACTTAACATTGTACACACAAAGGCAGAAATATGCTTATCTAACTGCTTCCCCATAAAAAGCAAAACCAGAAATAGTTAAATAAAGTCCATAAATAATGAAACAGGGGAAATTCCTAAAGAAGATAAGATTTCATTCATCAAAATAATGTTTTAGCTTCTTTGTGTAGCATTATTTTAAATAGTATGCACATACAACCTAAACAGAACATTTCATATTAACTTTATTCTCTGACCTTACTTTTCTGTTTCCTCTTGTTTACCATGTATCACAGCGTAGGAGAGCACAGCGGTCGAAAATATCAATACCACACATTCTGGTGTGCATATTATTTGCTGAGTACATATCGTTTACAGCCTCCCTCTTACTCAAGCACTGACGTTGAGAAATATGAGTCACTGTGACGTATAGCAGAAAGTACACTAAAATGCCATCATTTAGGGCTGAATGATATGGTAAAAACATCAAATGGCAATTATTGTGACTGATATGTGATATGATTTACTAAAAAACTAAATCATGATGATGTGACATTTGTTGGCTCTGTACAAAACAAACATGTTTTCTTCATTTCTAAAGCAAATTAGATTTCAAAGATCAAGCTTACACAGAAAACCACATATAAGTAGTTATTTATAAGACCTTGGACATGGAAATGATCTTATCTCTAAGCAAAATCTAGACTAGCTGTATCTTTCCTGCTGGTTATGTAGGGGTTTGGATTGAGAGGAAACACAAACTGATATGTGCAGGTCAAGTTGAGTCCAAAGGGATGTTGGTGGTTTGACAAGTGATTGAAATGAAATTACAAAAAAGTAAATAAGCTAAAGGCAATCTTGACATTTTTGTTGAAGCTGTGATAGGCTCCTCAGAAAAACAAGACCATGGTCTGTCATATGTTATCTGGTGTTCTTTTTGTCACATTTATTTTCCATCTATGTCGTTAGGGCTGCTCAATTAATTGAAATTTGATCATGATTACGATTTTGGGGCCAAACGATCTCAAAACTAATAAAATCGGGGGGAAACGATTATTTTTTTCATTTTCTGTTGTGCAACGTTGTATACAGTCTGCGTATATCGCGCATGCGTATTTCCGTCCCTCCTCCACAGCAAGCACTGCACATCATGCGCTCGGTATACTCGCCGTTCACGACCTGTCGCGCGACAATGTGAAGTCACGGGAGCACCGTAACTATTTATACTTGCGCCGGTGGTCGTGACACTAGTTGCAGTCTTCTCCTGTCACGTTGTTTTCGTTTGAACAGGTAACGAGGAGACTTACAAATGTTTATGGGGAAAGGAAAGTGAAACTGAGGACTTCCTTGCAAAGTGTTTTTGACAAATGTCCAATAAATGCAGCATGTTTCTGAAGTTTAAAAAAAGAATCGTTTGAATAATCGTAATTTCAATATTGATCCAAATAATCGTGATTATGATTTTTTCTATAATCGAGCAGCCCTACAATGTCGTGGTGATAACGTGATGCTGACAGTGTGTTTTTGTGTTGAACAGGTACAGTTGTTATAAGAGACTGCACACCACAGTCAGGCACACGGTGCAGCCCCTGTAAGACAGGGACCTTTATGAACCAACCCAATGGCCTGAAAAGCTGTTTCTCCTGCACCTCCTGTGACAAAAGTATGTTCATAATGAGTTCACATTTCTGCCTTTCATTCCCACTGACACTCTGATTATGACACATGCAGTAACAGGGAAAAGGAATTAGGATATCTGACTAAACTAAAACAAACAAATAGGGGGGCTTAAAGAAAATGGTTAAGATAGGGAACCAGCTTTAAATGATTCTTTTTAAGGTTAGTTCTTGTATTGGTACTTGAAGATAAAGAAAATCTGATTTAGTATAAATGTGCTGAAATGCAATCTTCAACTGCTCTGCCTGCAGTCTGCGATCCACAGCCATAGCTCACCAGACCAATAGTGAACTGTTTTTTACAAAACCACAAACTGCATATAGTCCAGTGTGCAATGGTGCATTGTTCTGACTAAGCTAAAACGAAGCTGACTATAACTGTTTAACCTAATTAGACACGTACCTTGAAATCAGACAAATTCTCGTCAACATTCCGGTTGAGACTACAGCCCCACTTCAAAACCAGACCCTCATCCCATGACCAGCAGGACCTGCCAGGCAGTCGATCCACATTAGCAGCGAGATAGAGAATGACTGAGGAAATAATGGGTGTGGTTTATCACACTAAACCGTGACACTCCACAGTGTGGACTGGTAGAGAGGCGCCAGTTCTGCCCTTGAGCAAGGCACCTAACCCCTAACTGCTCCCAGAGTACTGTTGTGTGGCAGCCCATCACTCCACTATCTCTCCACATTTGCGTGTCTATAAGCCCTGCATGTGTGTGATTGTATTTCAGGCCTCCTTTACTAAGAATAAAAGCCAGTTAATTGTTTGGGCCCTTTTTCTTGTATTTTTTGCAGCATTTTATGCCTTGATCTGATATTTGACAGTAGAGAGGGAAGAGTGAGATTGGAATGACACAAAACAGAAGTCTGTGGAGACACCACAGCTCAAACTCTAGGGTACGGAGGCGCCCCCTTCAGGTCATTCTTTAAAGAAATATCCAAAAGTAACAAGTGTGATTATTTGCTGTTTGGTCTTTTCTGTGTGTGTAAATAGAGTTGTGAATATGTCTGTCTTTAAAAAGGTTGGATGACACACACTTACGGTAATGTAATGAATGCTTTTCTCTCTGCTTTCTGGCACTTTATATATTGAACCATTAATCAATTAATTCAAGGAATTAGTTAAGGTGGGTGATAATGAAATGAATCCTAAATTGCAGCCCTAGTAATGAACATCATTCAGCATGTTTACTGAAAAGTGAACCCAAATAATTCAGGTTGGTGTGATTTCATTTAAAGACCGCTCTCTTTAATTTGAAGATGTGTGAGTGAGTGAACCACAGAGCAGCAACAGGCGCTCTGATTGGCCAGCTACTATGTGCTGATAAGGAGTTTGGATTTCACTTGTTTGGTTGCAGTCAACCAAAAATGAGATGATGAACTATCTCATTGTTTCAGATATTGTTCAAAGTGGACTCAAATGTACAAAGAGCATTAATATAATGACTGTGTTTCTGGTTGCTTTTAGGTCACGGTCTGTTTGCCCAACAGGAGTGCACTGGATCAAGGGATGCACTTTGTGATGTGTTAGAGGGGTATTTCTGCAGAAGCTGGGCCGATGATTCAGGATGTAGTTCAGCAGACAAACACACACGCTGTGTGCCTGGTCAGAGGGTAAAGGAAGCTGGTAAGAGAAATCAAAGTCAAACTAGTCTGGTAGTAAGTTTACACACTACTGTCTTGGTTTGAACATGTTGATGGACATACACGTTTCCATGGGACATGGAGTAACCTTTTTATTCAGCTCCATGTATACATGCTGCTGACAGTATCCAGGTATGTCTTTGACTCCTCTGAATACAGCACGTGTGTCATTCCTGTGTCTGAATGCAAGAGTGACAATTTAGTTTACAACCTGGGTCATTTTATCAACAGTTTCTTTCTCACATCAGGTATCATTATTATCAACTACTCATAACTGGAGGTCAGGCTGCACACGTCCATTTCTGTATGAGTATTGGATAATGTACCTATATTTATCAAGCATCTCAGTAACCATCCTGGGGATCACACTGAAAGTTAGTGTACTGGGAAGAGGGGACAGCAGCTGCCTGCCAAAACCCACATACAATGACCCGTCACAATCACAGCAAACAACAAAACACATATGATAACGTTAGGTCAACACGAACAACTGTTCTTTTTCTTATGAACTGTTTAAATTGTTCCAGTGTGCAGACCTATGGGCTTTTCAATCTGTGCTGAAGGGAACTGCACAGATCGGCTCTGGCACCAAATCTGCATGAAGCCTAAATCATCCTCCTGAACTGTTATTTTCTCCAGTTTAGAGACTCACTCTCTACTCTCGATGTATTGCTTTATAAATGATGGAAATGTTTCCATGCACACAGTAATGTCACTGCAGCAAATCTCTCCTAATATTTATTAAAGTTGACAGGACAGAGGAGAATTCAACCTTTAACTGCTGAAATAACTATTTTAGACCACTCTGATGAGGTTCAGGATTTATCAGGAGCACGGCTGTTTAACTCCAAACTCTGTATGAACCTGACTGCATGTGTGACCTTTTGGATGTGTTAGAAGAACACAATAATAACATTTACATTAGATCCTGACCGATCCTTTTGGCGAGACTTAAATCATTAAAGAAGAAAGAGAAATCTAAACAAATCAAAAATCAGGACTTGAGATGTATTCATCTCTGAACTCCAGGGAGAGAGAGTGAGGTTGCTGCTTTACTACTCTCTGCTGCAAAGTAGAAAACATGATGTAGTTTTGGACAGTTGTGGTTTTTAGTAGAAAACTGATGAAAACACCTGTGCTCTTTACAGGTTGTCCTCAGGATAATAATGTAATTTGAATATGATTTATATGGGTGGGGTCTTTAAAATGGATTGGATTAATGAAGTTAATGTACTTTGTGTAAAATATGTATATGTTTTTAAGAAAGATTTTTTTATTGATCATGCTATAATAACTATGAAACAACACAGACATGGTTCCAATACTAATTTTACTTTGTATCTTTCATACTTTTTGCCAGTATGTATGTGACTCCGGTTCGTCAAATGGTTCTGTCAGTGAACGCCTCTCTTGTGTCTGTGATTGTGATTAGTGATCACAATCTCAATGTGAGTCAGATAAATAATGGATTTTCACTGGATCTTTCTTTGTGTGTAATTAATCTCACTCCTGTCTGTTTCTGTTAGGAACCAGCAGAAATGATACAGTGTGTGAAGTTTGTCAGCCAGGAAGTTTTTCACAGGATGGTGTGGACTGCACGGCTTGGACTGTGTAAGACATTGTTTGTCATGGAGCACAAAGTGACCTCTGTAGTTGTGCACTGATTGGATTGTTGATAAGCAGTTGAGTTTTATGGCTGCACATTCTGCAGTGGAACAAGTTATAATGAAACATGTTTAATATATATTCTCTGTATTGTGCTGACTGAAGCTGTTTTATGTCTCTTTTCCAACAGCTGTCCAGAAACCCAAGTAAAGGGTCAAAGAAGGAAGTACGAGCAGTGACGTTGTCTGTCGAAGTTCTTCAAGGAATTATTATGCATATATACCTCTATTATTATCATTATTAACAGTTGCTGGACTTGTGACCACAGGTTAGGGCTTATTTTGAATCCCTGATATAACTACCTAATACCTAACCTAGATTCCCATTGTTGTCTGCCTCCAGGATGGTCGCTAACTGCTAAAGCTATTAACTGTGTCTTGCTTTTGGATTTCAGGCAGGCTAACAATGAAAAAGGACTCTGGTAGGTCTGAATTTATTTTAAGTACTCATTTTTAAGTTAATGTCTCACAATGTTTCACACAACAGGCTGCACCTGAGTTTGTTTTAATGTCTTTTATTTCTTCTTTTTCCCGCCTACAGTCTCCAGTCCTGGAGGTAGATGACTCAGTTTGTGTTGTGAAAAATATTAGAATTCCTCAGTGGCAACATGAGCGGAAGAGTGGAAACACAAAATGAAACAAAAAAGAAAAAAAGCAGTATAGTAACATCAAGCCTCATGTTCAGAGACAGTCTTTATCATGCACTACATTCACATGCGTGGTGATCCATCCACCATCTGAGCCATTCCATTAGTGTGGGTTAAAACATAACAACTGAATACAGCCACTGTAGGTCATTGTGAGAGAAAATAATTGTTTACATTGGGAACATCACAAGATGTCCGCTGTACTATCATTTACGAACTGAACATTCAAAATGAGTGAGCACAGACAACTGAAAGTAGTTCTCTGCCACACAGCTCCCAACCAGACTTCCATCATGTTTCACTTTTCCAAAAGCTCATCTGGACTTATTTCATTAGGTTTAGTAGCCTAATGTGACTTTGTTGTCACATCTGTTGCAATGCCGTTAATTTTTACTAATGTCAAGCTAATTTCACCATCTTGTTCCAATGTTTCTAATTTCACTGAGCTTTAAGCTCACTACTTTGTACTACTGGACGATATATTGTCCCAGAAATAATTGTGTCATTTTAAGACCATTTTTGTCTCTGATACAATGATTGGCACAAAAATGCAAAGTACACTGTTTCAAATAGCAATGAACCTTTAATTCTTACAAATATTCAGACATTGGAATTAGGATGTGACAAAAATATCAAAATATCCTTGATAAATAAAACCAATAAACCCCCCTTTAAAATAAACAAAATGTTAACAAAAATTGCACTTCAATAAATATTTAACATTTGGCAGAGGGGTTTATGCTTTAGAATTGCCAGATGCAAATAAACAGAATGGGTGTTAAGTTGGTCATTATGTGGAAATTGTAAACAATGTTCAAATGCTGTTGCACTGATGCTTTTGTACTGTTTCTTTAGTAACATTTTAATACAGGATTTGTATTTGGACTGCATTTACATCTTTGTATTGCTACTTTTATAAAGGAAGATCACTGATATGATATGCTTTTACACTGTAGTAATGTTCCTTTAATGTTTTCTTGTGTGGAACCTTTTTAATTATACTTAACTTTGTATTGTGCTTTTATACTTTCTAATGTATTTGCTGTACAAATAAAGTCACCTTGCTTTGACTAACTGCTCTGAATGTGAACATTTGTTTCAGGAAGCCCTCCAAACAGTCAGGAAGTAAAAGTGGCTGCAGTCAGTAGCAGGGAAGAAGTGGGAGCGGTCAGCTGATGTCTGATGTATGTTTATATAGAAGCAGGTACAATTACAAACTGACTTTGTACCATCAAAACAATTTTCCTTTTTCCAGCACAGATCACACCTCCTACTGCTTAATTAAATTGAATCAGCACTGTGATATAAGAGGAATTAAGTAATGATCATCTTTAGCCATTTCTGATCTTCCTTATTTTAGATGTCACATTGGAGTTGATTTGGTGAATCAACATTTATGATTGTAATCTTTCCTTATATTTATATTATTAACTATAAAATTACTCCAATTTGAAAATGTCAGGAGGAAAATAATAGTATATTTCTATTATTATTATTATTATTATTATTATTATTATTAATCTATATGGATTTGGAAATAAGCCTGTCGTGTAAGGTTCTCTATAGGCTTTGGATTATATCACAGGTATAAAACATCTGCTCTGTTGTTTCTATACAGGTGACAGATATCGTATCACACTGCAGTATTTCTTTATATTCTGGAGGTTTTTCATACTTTCTGAGATTAAGAGTTCTAGTCATTATAAATCAGAGTATGTAGTATTTATCAAAGTGCCTCAGAAATGTATTATGTCTAAAAAGAAATCAACAGTGCCAGTATTAATATGTTATCATTAGGTGCTGGCGTGTCTGGGCTGTTTCTGAGTAACTGAATAAGTGCTGCTGGAATTGTTTCATGAACGATCCACATGATATGACTGAGGAACAAAGTGCAAGGGGGGGCAACAAGTAGGCTATGTACAAGCTACAGGAAAGGAAAGCAGGACCTGAATTACAGGAATTCAGTCAGACCGCACCACGAGGGCTCTGCTATGTACGCCTTCAGAATAAAAGCTCTGAAAAGCTATTCTTTTAATTGTAACTGTAACGTGATATCTAGTCATAAACAATAATAATGTCTAAATACTCATTTGACCTGGACTCCAGATAATTGATTTTTGGTTTCTCCAGATTACAGGATACATGGAGAACATTTGATCACACCTGATTTCAGCCAGGGACAGAAGAAAGACAAACCAACACTGTCTACCAAGCATTTTCTGACTGACACCAATGTCTGACACCCATGTGGACAGGATGGAATCATTTGATATGACGTAACAATATGATGAGGTTTAGTTAGGTTTAAAAAAAAAGATCATGGTTTGAGTTCAATGATTTCTTTGTTCATAAGGACCTTAATGGTTGATTTCGAGGACCTGTTTTTACCTTTCTGACACTGCCACAGTTAGTGGTGTTCATGGCAATCTGTTGGTGTGATCCTTCATGTTGATGCCAAGTGTCCATAAAGGCAGGCCAACCAGAGCAGTTGGCAGTTCTATTTTTATCTTCATCTATCTGTATCTCTGGGCACTGTACAGGTATTTCAGTGAAACTCTCTGAGGAGTTTAGAAAGGAAATGTCTACATGTTCTACAGAACCAATCTAGCTGTGTTAACCAGGTTTCTCTCTCTGGTCACTGCAGAAAGCTGAAATTAAAGTGTTAGCTCAGCAGTCACTGTGATCTCTACATGGATAGGCCTATGTGTTCTTTCAGTTTTCAGATGGTGTAATCCTTTTGGATTTTACATCTCTCTTCCTCCCAAATCTCAGTGAGACGACGTCTTCAGAAATAATGAAGTAACCATGGCTATTCCTGACTAACCCCTCATTAGCATTATATAAAGGAAATCACTGATTGTAAGGCAGATTAAGATAATTTGAGATAGATCAGAGCTGCACAATGTATAAATAAGCTTCTTAGAACCTGCGTAATCAATGTATTTTTAATGCTCAGTATGTTTTAAGAACTGAACGTAAGCACACCCTACTTAAGAAGTTTAAGTCCAAATCTGAGAAATTTTTTTCAGAAATGTATGTTTAGCCATTTCAGTTATTTTCATTTGAAGCTGCAGATGTAAGAAAATGTTCGGTTTGCATTAGCAGTAACTTAATACTGCCTTTCTCTGGGTATTTTGCCACAGATGCCCAGTCAGTAATACTGTAAACATAAATGGAATATTTTCACCAGTGGCCATTCTGGTGGACCGCCAGTTGAATAACACTGTTTTAAGGTATATAAAGGTTGAAGACACATGACCTAAGCTTTGTTTTGTGTACCATGTTTTTAGCATAAAGGTTGACAATATTGTGAAGCAGGAATTATACTTTATATGTACGTGAGCGTCTGGGTGACATACATTTCGTCATCAGAGGGTGTACACAAAGGCTCTGTGCAGACATCAGATCTGTGTTGAATTTGTACACTGTACACTGGGGGCGGCTGTGGCTCAGAGGCAGAGCAGGTCGTTCCTAAATCGGAAGGTTGTGGGTTCGATCCCCCCTGGTGCCACATGTCGAAGTATCCTTGAGCAAGATGCTGAACCCAAATCGCTCCTGATGCCGTGCATCGGCGTGTGAATGTGTATGAATGTTAGTTACTGTTCGATGGACTTTGCCATCACTGAGTGAATGTGTGTGAAAGGGTGAATGTGGCACGTAGTGTAAAAGCGCTTTGAGTGGTCGGAAGACTAGAAAGGCGCTATACAAGTACAGGTCCATTTACCATTACACTGTACACTGTGTGAAGCCTCCACGCAGACTGGGAGTGTACTTGAGAAATTCTTGTCATTCCTAATCGACACGACATGCACACTCCCCTCTGGTCTGTGAAGCGGGAACACACTGGCCTAATAAAGACCTGAAACATTATTTAGTTACAGAAAAAGAAAAAAATGCAGACACTCCCAATCCGGTGTGTTTTACACTCTCTGTACTGTTAGCCTATTAGTTTCTGTTTCTGATAAGCTTGCATGGCAACCTCTGCCATCAGTGCATGAATGTGTGTTAGTGGAGAAATATGACATGAAGTGCAAAGCACTCTGAGTGGTTGGAAGACTAGAAAGGGACTTTATAAGTGAAGTCCATTTATTTCTGTACCTTCAAAAAATATGATCTTTCTACATCTTTTTATCGTCTCATACTGTTTATATTAAAATCAATCCAATTAAATTTCTCTCTTAAGGTATCTGCTGTTCTCTGTGCTAGAATTGTTTTTATTTATTTTGCCAAAAAGTAACTTATTTATTGCTTTGTACAATATTTGTCTTAAATTCCATCAGTTCCCTATAGGATCACCTCCTCACTTTGTCACCTATCTGCTCAAATTGCTGACGCCTCACTATGTTCAGCCAGATCAGCACAAGCCCTCTGATGCCATACCTTTCCATTTTATTGAGGAATCTTTGCTTTGTAAAATAATTTGAACAAAAGCTATCAATACTCCCATGTCGTCCTTATTATGTATACAACTGGTTATTTCTTCTGTAAACTCCATTAAAGCCAGAGATTAGCTTTTTTCAATGGGGGCGTTCAGAGAAGGTCAGGGGACACTAGAAGCAATAGTTTTGAAAGGGGGGCATTGAGCTGTTGTTGGGGGGCATTATGTTCAAGGCAAGTTAAAACGTTCCACAACTTGCAAAAAAATCATTCCTTTCATTCAAGGATACAGCATGAACGCAGTGTTTCAGTGTGGTTACACATTTAGAAGCAACATAGTGTCTTACATCCACACACACTATAACACCATTTAATTCAAGTGTTTATTGGCATTCCTGCACATAATACAACGCTGCCAATGTGTATTAACACAAACTATACAGTCATAATAAACAGAAGCAATATTCTCAAACAGACACCTGCCTCCTCACAGCAACATCAGCCAGCTGGACTCCAGCTGAGACCCTGTTCTCTGCTGTGTTAAACGGTTCCATCTTGTCATGAACTTTAAGGTCTTAAATAAACATCTGTAATAAGTCTATGAATACAAGGAAATGGCCAAACGTGGACATTTACCAGGTTTAAGTTGCCTGAAATAGTAAAAATCTACTAAATGAATTCTGGCATATTCAACCAAAATAAAAAGTGACATAGCCATAATATGTCACATACGTCTTCTCATTTACATGGACCACCTGAGGATGTAGGAATAAATCCACAGCATATTCATTAAGTTTACTATTACACACCAGAATTATTGTCATTATCATTTATACAACTTTTAACTGTTTATTTATATGTGTAACATTTAAGTCGCTGTTTCATGTCCCCTTCACTAAGAGTTCAATTAGTTCCTACCTACCCAACAGGAGACATTAGCACAGAGGGTTACCATAGAGCCGTAGCCTGTTGGTTATTAACGAAGTGTTGCTACTTTTATTTTGAAAGTTGGAGCTGTGTAACGCAGTTCCTGAGCAGCGGCTGTGTGGAAGAGGTGAGGAGTCGTTATTTTTATGCTATTTAAGATGTTCACACATTCCACGTTTAACACTGTTGAAGCCTTGTGTGTGTGTGTGTGTGTGTGTGTGTGTGTGTGTGTGTGTGTGTGTGTGTGTGTGTGTGTGTGTGTTATGGCACCGCTGAAACTTTCCTAACAAAAACACGAGGAAGGCGACCAGCAACAGGAAAGAACACCGGAAGCAAAGTAGTTCGTTGGGTAGAAAGTGCGGAGTTCTCGCGAGCTGTTGGTCCATAGAGGTTGCAGTTCTGTATCTTTGGCCATTGTACAGATATTTCAGTGAAAACATCTGAGATGTTTAGAGGGGAAATGTCTGTGTGGTGGAACTCATAGCTGAATCATGACACATCCTGTATCTTTAAGACTAATACTTCCAGTGAGGGCTGGTGGGGATTTTGGGTGGGTGGGCTAACACATGCATTACATTCATCAATACCTCCCACAGCAGCAACAGCAGCATCACATCCAGTTACAGCAACAACATTGTGTACTTTGTTATAGCAAGGGCTCTACGGCAACACTGGGGAGACAAACCCAAAAGAATGACCTGATGCCAAAAAGAAATCTCTCTCTCTCTCTCTCTCTCTCTCTCTCTCTCTCTCTCTCTCTCTCTCCTCTGTACCTATCAGCACATGCCAATTGCGCCACAACTACATCATAGAAAAGTACCAGCAACAATAACAATTCCTCTCTATGTGTGTGGTTGTGTTCAAGGACAAATCGAAGTGTGTATGTGTGTGTGATCTTACATTAATGGTGCCAAGTTAATTTGTTTAGCAGTAATCTCTAATCTGTGATCTCTACATGAATATGTGTTCTTTCAGTTTCCAGATGGTGTCCTCCTGTTGGATTTTACTCTCAGTGAGATGACGTCTTCAGTCCATGAAAACTGTGATCCAGCAGTAGAAAATGACGTTTGGAAGAAAACCTTTGACAGCTGCACCATTGCTGGTAAAATCATTTGTTATTACAGTCAGCTTTTATTTGCTTTGCAGCAATTCATACATCAGATTGGTCTTCATCAGAGTCTTCATCAGCTCTACTGAGGGATGAGCAGCTGTCCTGGCTTTAATCTCTGTAGGAGAAGAGAGTAGATGAGCTAAAGGTTCAGATGGAGCAGTTTTCAGATATAGTCCTGGTTGGAAAGTAGCTAGGAAGGTGTTTTCCAGTGGTAGGATGATGTGGGTGGGTGGGTGTTGTGTTGGGGTGTGAAAATATATTCAATATACAGGAATCAGCTCCTGAGGTGAAGCAACATCACAGGAATGTTGTTGAGATTTCAACTCTGTATTTTATGTGTCAGTCCACACACTGACTTTATTCTTATGGCTCCAGTGACACAAATGTGACCTCATTATCATGTGACTTCCTGCTATAACTCACCTGCAAAGGTTAAACTAAAATCTCTTTCTTACTCTTCACAGATTCTTGTGATGAATATCTTCGGAGGACACACATTCAGATGTCGTCAATTTGAGTATCAGATAGACAATGAATGCTGTCCTAAGTGTCCACCTGGTAAGATCCAGTTGAATATTGAACTAAATATTGCAAATACACCGCTAGATGGCACTAAATCCTACGGACTGGACCTTTAACAGCTAAAGAGACAGATATTTATTTTAAGGAGCAGGTTGAGACCAAAAGAGAGCTAAAAAGAGTGAATACAGTCATGTGAAAAAATTAGGACACCCTATGAAAACGTGTGTTTTTTAACATATTTAGACATATGGATATTTAATATCAATTTTAACAATACTGAGATTCAAGTAATATAACTAAACAAGTAAAACTGTAGAAAATACTTTTTAAAACTTTCTGTAAAATTTAATAAAATAAAAATGCAATTTCTGGTGAGGAATAAATTAGGACACCCCCACATTTTTTCCCACTTAAAATGGCTGAAATCACACACAGGTGTATCACATCAGGTGCACATGATTAGAACATTGTTACTCAGCATTTTGAAGGAGGTTTGCCCTATTCAAACCTCAGACATTCAGTTTGGTGTGCTCCTGACTGTTGACGTGAGAGTGAACACCATGGTGAGAAAGACCTGTCTGAGGCCTTCAGAAAGAAGATTGTTGCAGCTTATGAGTCTGGTAAGGGATTTAAAAAGATCTCAAAAGAGTTTGAAATCAACCATTCCACTGACCGGAAAATAGTGTACAAGTGGAGGACATTCAAAACAACTGCCAACATGCCAGGTCTGGCTGTCCAAGCAAGTTCACCCCGAGAGCAGACCGCAAGATGCTAAAAGAAGTCTACAGCAGGCTCTGGCGACTGTTGATGTGAAAGTGCATGCCTCTACAATCAGAAAGAGACTGCACATGTTTAATTTTCACGGGAGGTGTGCAAGGAGGAAACCTTTACTCTCCAAGAGAAACATTAAGGCCAGACTGAAGTTTGCCAGAGAGACAGAGACAAGGAACAGGAATTCTGGAATAATGTTCTTTGGACAGATGAGTCTAAAATTTAATTATTTGGACACCAGAACAGAGGACATGTTTGGCGCCTAACAAATACAGCGTTCCAGGAAAAGATCCTCATACCAACTGTGAAGCATGGAGGTGGAAGTGTCATGGTTTGGGGATGCTTTGCTGCAGCAGGACCTGGCCAGCTCACCATCATAGAATCCATCATGAATTCTACAGTGTATCAGAGGGTGCTTGAGCAACATGTGAGACCATCTGTAAGGAAATTAAAGCTGAAGCGGAACTGGACCTTGCAACATGACAGTGACCCTAAACATACCAGTAAATCCACCAAGGACTGGCTGAAAACTAAGAAATGGAGAGTCCTGGAATGGCCCAGTCAAAGCCCAGATCTTAATCCCATTGAGATGCTGTGGGGTGACTTGAAACAGGCTGTACATGCAAGAAACCCCTCAAACATCACACAGGTTAAAGCATTCTGCATTGAGGAGTGGGGCAAACTTTCCTCAGACCGATGTCAGAGACTGGTAGAGGGTTACAAGAAGCGTGTACACTAGGTATTAGGGGGGTAGGGTGTCTTTACTTTTTCCTCAGTTAGAATATGCATTTATGTTGATGTCTTTTATTTAATGAGTAAAACAATGTTATTTTTTTGCTGTTTACCTGCAATTAGATCACTTTCTTTTCCAGAGATAAATAAAAACAAGATTAGACATCGATATGTGAACATTTCTTAATGAATAACTAAATATTTAATGGGGTATCCTAATTTTTTCACATGACTGTATTATCAACCACCAAACACAACTTTTGTTGGTTATATGTTAGGGATGCTCGATATTGGCTTTTCTGCCGATATCCGATATTCCGATATTGTCCAACTCTCAATTTCCGATACCGATATCACCCGATACCGATATATGCAGGCTTTTTTCACCAAAACTGTTAGGTAACAACATAACATATCTCCTTTGTGGAATTAACACATTATGCCTAACTTTATTGTGATGCCCCACTGGTAGGGTGGCCATTTCCTTCACATCAGAAAGGAGGACACTTTGCATACATGGGGACACGCAAGCAGATATTTGTTTGATATGGTTTTAATGTTTTTCCACCAGATTACATAAAGGTGCGTACACATACCACATAGCTAATAATAAATATACAAGATACAGCTCATGACAACGTGCCCTTCCAAATTAGATTACATAGGTCTAATAACCATCACACAGAAACTGTTCTTAATGTTTTATCTGGATAGATAAAGGGTAAACAAAATACAGCACCTTCTGTTTCAGATGTATAGGCTTTGCCTAGACTTTGCCTATACATATGTGTATGAGCATTTTCAGAATTTCAGTGCAACAACCGACGTTAGCTCATGTTATGTTCTCTGTCGCTGAGAGCTTGATTGACAGCCTGGTGGTAAAATTAGCCATGTGTTGATAGGTCACGACACGCAAATGTGACCAATGAAATACTTATTTTGACACACATTTTTAGCCAATAAGTATTAAACTAACGAGGTAATATGTCAAAAGGCGACCTTTTTAGTTATTTTCTCAAAAAGAGGACAAATGAGTGTCAGGCTTCACCTGCCGCCGGACGGGGTCATCCCTATGTTCCCCAGGTCCTATGTTCCCCCGCTAAGGTTAGGGTTAGGGTTAGGGTTCCCCGGTCCCATACAAAGTGGGGAACATAGTGCTAATGTAAATTCTAAGCCAATTGTTAGTTTGGTTAAGGAACAGCTCATAGCAGGGTCAAATATTTGAGGTGCATTGCATTTATTTTGTGTTAATATTAATATTACAACTGCCATGCTGCCAATGTGTATATATGGATTTTGTTTCAACAGGAAGTCGAGTTAAATCACATTGCACAGAGTTCAGGAGTACTTCCTGTCTGCCCTGCACTGAGGGAACCTTCATGAATCAGCCTACAGGACAGACACTGTGTGATCCCTGTACACGCTGTGATGCAGGTACATTTCTGGCAATATTTTTAAAACTTTAGTTGCAAAGTAACTGATAGCACCACAGGACTGCTTACACAAGTAGTGAGGAAGCTAAACCCAGCACAATAACTGATGAGTAATGAATTTCACATATTCGCTCCATTTATGTTGCCATAAAATTCATGTTATTCGTAATGCCTGGTGTTAATTTGCGTTAGTTTTTTTCCGGTTTTTCACTTTATTTCAGGACTTAGACCCATGTGTTTACATTTGAGCTCTGTTCCTCACAGTCCGAACAATGAATGTACTTACTGACGATACAAAACAGGAGGAACGTATGTAAAAATGTTGTAAAAGCGGTGTTCTGGCAGTTTGTGTGTGTGTGTTACGTTTTATAGCATTTTCTAAACAAATTGAGTTTGAAATATGACACGTTGTGACCCTTTTGGCTTTCCGTTAACAGCCCAGTTGCTTAACATGAGGGCCGAAAAGAAGCAGGCAGTGTTCTGTGGCACTTCCACCTTTTGTCTGTCCCTTGTGTATGGGCTACAGAAATGCAGAAGAAAGGTTTAGATATAAATGGTAAGCCTACTCAGTAGCTAATTATTATTTGAAGAGTAGCAATAGAGTAATGCATACTTTAGTAAGAGTACAGTGACACACTTAGACTCAACCAAAAAATAACTTAATTACAGTAACATGAGTAGTTGTCATGTGTTACTTCCACCCCTGCTCTCCATGTGTAACCTGTGTATGTGTTGACAGGTTCTGGTTTGAAGATAAAGACGTCATGTACAACAACATCAGATACAGTTTGTGAACCACTGGAGGGATTCTACTGTTTTGACTCTGCAGAGGACGGCTGTATGTCAGTACAGAGACACACACTCTGTCGACCAGGACAATACATCAGACAATACGGTGGGTTTACTTGTGCTGACTTTAAGATTGTAGGTATACTTTAAGTTTTCTATGAGAACACCCAGGTTCAGGGAAAGGGACCTTACAGTTTCCTCATAAAGCTGGATCTGTGAGCACAGAGTCTCTGGGAATGTGTCAAAGTTGTCTTAGTTCCATAAAAGGCAAAGTGTCTCTGATAGGTCAGTTTTTTGACTGCCTGCGTGCAGTAAGGTAAGAATCTCTTGCAGTAGCAGTATGATAACCTTCAGTACTGTAGCACATCTATGCATGCACACCGTTAAGTTGTGGCTTGTTTCAAAGGTTATGTAACCACTGTTCCTATGGTGGCAGTTTTACACTCATTAGTTAATTATAACTGACCACACAATTTGTAATGTCTTTTTTTTTTAAATATATGTATATTATTGGGGCTTTTTTCCTTTAATGAAAGGACAGCTCAACATAGACAGGAAAGGGAAGAGAGAGAGGGGATGACACAGAGCAAAGGGCCACAGGTCGGATTCGAACCCTTGCTTACTGCAGCAAGGACTCAGCCTTGGTACACGGCGTGCCAACTCTACCAGGTTAACGTTATTTCCATGGAGTCTAACGGTAGCTAGCCATCTTGCAGACAGTTACAACGTAATTTGAGCCCCTCAGCCACAGTGTCAACTTCCATTTTCTTTATACTACAACGTCATAACCATGACAAAACCACACATTTCCACAACGTGGTTTTACCATAAGACCTGTCATGGGACTACACTATATACAGTATCATATTAATGTACTATGAAAACAGTCTGCATGCCTTTCTATAATGCTGAATAGCTCACTTTAAAACAGTTTGAGAGCTGCTACCAAAGTAGCTGACTGAACAATCTGCCGATAGATGATGATGCAGTGTGATGAGACCTTTAAATGAGAGGTGGGTGCCTCACAGGGGGCTGTTTTCAGTAACCAGCCTTCATTCGGCCCGCCTCAGCTCCATGTCTCTGCCCATTCTTGGGTTAACCGGTAGACAGTGGAGTCAAGACTGCCAAGATTGCGACGACCACACTGAGCTTCACAAAGTACAAACTGAAGCATCGTCTTGTCATCAACTCCACGAAACTTCCACTAAGCAACCATTATCTAAGAATTTATTTTATCATTCTACTATTTCTGAAGTCAGTAATGAACCAAGCTCAACCATAGAATGTGTGAGGTCTCATATCTGCAGTTTTCCTCTCCAGACCCTACTTTGTCTTGAAAGGCCACATTCTGTTGAACCGGTGCAGTTCAGGTCAGGAGGTCAGATCTGAGGCTAGGTCTAGAAAACTTGTTTTACATTTTGCCAGTCTGATGAGCTGAGCCAAAGAATCTTGCTCTTTCTGTCTGAATAATTTGTTTCATTTGAGGATTCTCTCTATAATACAAGAGTACATTGGCCAAAAGGTAAAAAGTGCTAAAAGAGCCTCATTCCTTGATGATGTAGTTAACATATTGGGCTGAATGTCATTGCTTAAATATTTGCATAAAGCACTGAAGCATATGACATTTGGATCATTTTAGTGTTCAATTTGTTGATGAATCTGTTGTCTTTCTTCCTTTACACTGAATCAAAGAGAGAAGAGCTGCACTAGAACGTCTCCTTATACCTCAGAGAATGCCATTCATTGTTCCTGAAGTATAAAACATTGTGGAAAATTATTCGGGAATTTTTTCCCCCACTGTTTTCATGTCATTGAAATGAGACAGGTCAGATGAAATGTACTGATGTCATATAGGTCAACACTTTGATCCCTTCATAATGTCTCTGTTGAACTGGGTTGTGTCTGTACAGGAACAGCATTAACAGACACTGAGTGCTCTGACTGCAGTGCTGGAACATATTCAGATGGAACATTTCCATCCTGTCGGCCACACACACAGTAAGTGAAGCTTCACATCAGACAGCTGGATTCTTCCAACAGCAGTGAATTCATTGGATCCTACTAATGTTCCTGTAAAAAATCTCCCTCTGTCATTCCAGATGTGAATCAATGAATCTTCTGATAAAAGCAGGAACTGTTTCAACTGATGCTCAATGTGAACAAAGTTGGACAGGAATGGTGGCTGGCATTGTTTCGGGGAATTTTCTTAATTTCTTAATTGGAACAGCTGCATTTTTATTTTACCGTTTCAGGTTGAAGAAAGGATGTTTAAACAGAGGTATGATTTTAAATGTAGACCATAAAAAATGTTTTTGATAGATAATGATATTGTCTGTCACATCATTAAGTTGTTGACAATGTTTTTCATTGTTGTTTGTTTTTTTACAGAAAGAGACACTGCCAATCCAGTATGTTTTATACTCTCTTTACTGTTATTACTGAGTATTTTACTGTACAGTGGGTACGGAAAGTATTCAGACCCCTTTACATTTTTTCACTCTCATTGCAGCCATTTGCTAAAATCAAAAAAGTTCATTTTATTTCTCATTAATGTACACTCAGCACCCCATCTTGACAGAAAAAAAACAATGTAGAAATTTTTGCAAATTTATTAAAAAAGAAACTGAAATATCACATGGTCATAAGTATTCAGACCCTTTGCTCAGTATTGAGTAGAAGCACCCTTTTGAGCTACTACAGCCATGAGTCTTCTTGGGAATGATGCAACAAGTTTTTCACACCTGGATTTGGGGATCCTCTGCCATTCTTCCTTGCAGATCCTCTCCAGTTCTGTCAGGTTGGATGGTGAACGTTGGTGGACAGCCATTTTCAGATCTCTCCAGAGATGCTCAATTGGGTTTAGGTCAGGGCTCTGGCTGGGCCAGTCAAGAATGGTCACAGAGTTGTTCCGAAGCCACTCCTTTGTTATTTTAGCTGTGTGCTTAGGGTTATTGTCTTGTTGGAAGGTGAACCTTCGGCCCAGTCTGAGGTCCTGAGCACTCTGGAAGAGGTTTTCTTCCAGGACATCTGTGCTTGGCCGCATTCATCTTTCCTTCAGTTGCAACCAGTCGTCCTGTCCCTGCAGCTGAAAAACATCCCCATAGCCTGATGCTGCCACCACCATGTTTCACTGTTGGGATTGTATTGGGCAGGTGATGAGCAGTGCCTGGTTTTCTCCACACATACTGCTTAGAATTAACGCCAAAAAGTTCAATCTTGGTCTCATTAGACCAGAGAATCTTCTTTCTCATAGTCTGGGAGTCCTTCATGTGTTTTTTGGCAAACTCTATGCAGGCTTTCATATGTCTTGCACTGAGGAGAGGCTTCCGTCGGGCCACTCTGCCATAAAGCCCCGACTGGTGCAGGGCTGCAGTGATAGTTGACTTTGTGGAACTTTCTCCCATCTCCCTACTGCATCTCTGGAGCTCAGCCACAGTGATCTTTGGGTTCTTCTTTACCTCTCTCACCAAGGCTCTTCTCCCACGATTGCTCAGTTTGGCTGGACGGCCAGGTCTAGGAAGAGTTCTGGTCGTCCCAAACTTCTTCCATTTAAGGATTATGGAGGCCACTGTGCTCTTAGGAACCTTGAGTGCTGCAGAAATTCTTTTGTAACCTTGGCCAGATCTGTGCCTTGCCACAATTCTGTCTCTGAGCTCCTTGGGCAGTTCCTTCGACCTCATGATTCTCATTTGCTCTGACATGCACTGTGAGCTGTAAGGTCTTATATAGACAGGTGTGTGCCTTTCCTAATCAAGTCCAATCAGTTTAATTAAACACAGCTAGACTCCAATGAAGGAGCAGAACCATCTCAAGGAGGATCAGAAGAAATGGACAGCATGTGAGTTAAATATGAGTGTCACAGCAAAGGGTCTGAATACTTATGACCATGTGATATTTCAGTTTGTCTTTTTTAATAAATTTGCAAATATTTCTACATTTCTGTTTTTTTTCCTGTCAAGATGGGGTGCTGAGTGTACATTAATGAGAAATAAAATGAACTTTTTTGATTTTAGCAAATGGCTACAATGAAACAAAGAGTGAAAAATTTAAAGGGGTCTGAATACTTTCCGTACCCACTGTTTGAGGAACAGTTTTCTTCTAATTACTCACTCATGTATCAATATTTCACAAGGTATGATCAGTGATGGTTTCAGACAGAAGTCCACAGCAGCAGGTAAGACAGCAGTGTATTCTTCATATAAATGTTGATTGACTGAGCACTGTCTGACTGAGCTAACCTCTGTCTTTACAAATAGAATATATATAAATATAAAGATGTTGCTGTTTAAACTAAATATATTTCTCTCCTCAGGACGAGACAGCTCATATGTAGAAATGCAGTCAGGGGAGAAAGATCTCGACACGGAGTATATTGAGGATGACTGGCACCATTGAAGTATTTAAATCCACCTTTACATGTAATAGATTGAGAGAGACAGTATAAAATATTACACCGTCTACACATAACTCCTTACATACTAAATAAAATGGACCATCAGGTTTCACCTTTGTGTAACAAGTGTAATAGAGAGATTGGAACATATTATCATTTCTTCTGGCAATGTAAATTGATAAAAAGATTTTGGGGTACATTTCACAGGAACTGAGTGGCATCATTCATGCAAAAGTTAAGAGGGACCCAGGCCTTTTCATTCTCGGCCTCCCCTCAAGGGAGGTGACTCTAACCCATTTAAAGTTCAAACTATGCGATAAATTGCTATTATTGGTCAGAAAATGTATTGTAATGAATTGGATCAATGATAAACACCTACTGTCACATTATGGTATAGGGAAATATTCAGGGTCCTCCCCCATGAAAGACTTAGTGCAGTTGCAAAGGGTAACCAGAGGTCTTTCAATGAAATGTGGGCTCCTCTGCTTAACTACCTACCTGAGGATTTTACTGGGCTAGTGATAAGGGGCCAGTTTTCCCTAAAATGGCCACGCCCACCTGGGATAAATCCATAAGTGTCTTCTCTTGTACTGTGGTTCTTAAATACTGTCATTTTTTAAAATATTTCAACTCCACTTGATGTATCACTGCTTACTTTTGTAGAATATTGGTGCTGTTGTGACTATGGCTACACTAATGGACAATGTGTGTGTATGCAGAACAATATGGAGAGAGGCTCCTGTATGTACTGTGTACTACATGTATAACTTTCTGTTGAAAACCAATAAAATTTGTTACAAAAAAAAAGAAGAAGAAATGCAGTCAGTGTTTGAACACTGCAGAGTAAATGTTATAAGTTCCAGTTATAATCCCATTGGATGCTGGGACATTGTCTTTGCAGTGTCCAGAATGTCCCGCACTGTTTTACAAACTGGACACACCCTCTAGAGAAGTGCTGTCTGTGTCCTTCTTGTAACTATACATGTAGACTTTATTGATCTTCTCTGGTGGTCACACAGTTGGATCTGAACACAGGACGGATACAATGTGTTCTGAACTGCAACATGATGGGACAAATGGTTTCTTTGACCAAAAGTAAAGACACTGTGAATGTAGAACCTCATGAAGGTGCAGGTGAAGGACAAAAGCAGCATATGGTAAAAAGAGAGGCAGTGTTAGGTTTGTTTTAAAGTGGACCCAGATGTAGTCACAGAGGGAACAGTTTAGTAAAATGGCTTATTGAATAATAAATGGATAGATGAACGGGGTTAGTGGGGCTGAAGATGACGGGGAGTGGGGAGAATGGCTGGGTGGAGATGCTGGCACTGGGGTCCTGAGGCACAGGAGAAAAACAAGTTAGCCAAGGTATGATGGGAAAAAACCACAAAAGCACACTAGAGAAATCTTCAAAGTATTTTCACCCGATAGTCACACTACTATTAAGTTAGACAGAATAATCTGTATGAATGACAGGAGAACTGTCTACTGAATTCCACTCACTTTTCTGCATACTGAGTGCTATGTTGCTGATACTTTTGTACCTGTACTTGAGTATACGGGATGTATGTACTGTTAACTTTGTTGTATTGCTACTTTTAAAAAGGAAAGTCAAACAAATGCTTCTTTAACCACTGATGTGCTTTTAGTAACATCAAACATTTGTCCAACACTGCTGACGTCTAGTGGCAGAAATTAGTTATTGCACTTCATACGCCCTTTCGGAGAGTTGTTTACTTGATTACTAGAGTTTACTTGCTCATTAGTAAATATAAAGATGTAAAGATTAAGATACTGTAAACAACAATATGCTCACAGTAGAAAACATTTCAGATCTTTGCAGTCATTAGACTGACATGAACTGTAGGTGGAATATTGCAAGCAGACTCTCCTAAAGCTCTTAGATGAAATCACTCCAAGTAAACCTACTGCCTCGACTGGTACTACTGAAATATTGCTGTATCAGTAGTACTGCTGCTGCCTCTGGCATTACTGCGGACTCTTTGTTTGCTTTAAGTGTCATTTTCTGCTCCCCTGTGTTAATGTGCAGTAGTTATAAAGATTCACTAACAGAAGGAAAGGTCTTCCTGAGGGTCTTGGGTCATGGGTCATGACACTAGTTTCTGGCCTTTGGTTTCAACTGCTGATCAGCAGAGGTGGGACTAAGCCATTGTTTTGCAGTGTCTCAAGTCCCAAATCTTAAACTTTGAGTTTCTGGTCTTAAACAAGTCATAATGCAATCTTAACGTAATGACATTTTAACAGAATCAGCGATACAAAATTATTTTCACTTTTTCCAACTGGCACTAAGTAGCGTAACATTAGTTCTTCATGGTTATCTCCTGCAACCTGATTGGATGCTGTCAGATTGGTTCAAACAGCAACAAGTGGATCTGGGGAATTAAGTGCCAGCTTGCTGGGAATGAATGACTGTAACGTGACTGTAAGCACACTCATTGGTGTCAAAGTCCAAGTCGAGTTGCAAGTCGACATCAAATTTATGACCCGAGTATGTCAGTAAGGCCCAAGTCCACTCCTCTGCTAATCAGGTGACATACTGACTTATAAAAAATATTATATAGTTTGTTAATTGTTGTAAATTGAGGTGTGGATGGAGGCTAACAGTCCTCTGCAGCCCACTTTTGAGAGATCAAATCATGACTTTTTCTGTTAAGACCACTGGTGTTACTAGGAATAAGTCATGAATGGATGAATGATTTGTGAATGTCCCAAAGTTCAGTTTAGTCCGCTGTAATAAATATACAAAAATGACAAAAGGAAAGGGATTGAGGAGGTTGTAACCCTCCCTAACCCTTTAACAATGCTCCATCCAAATGTTCCTGCAATGCAATAATATAACAAGACACTAGCAACGAGGCACTTTTTTCTCACAACAACTCACAACCAAATAAAACTGATTACGGGCCAATGTCACCTTCTGCAGTAAAAAAGGTATTTGAATGGAACATTGCTTAAAGATGCTTTTAAAACCATTTCCTTCTTTTACAGAGTCCTTACGTTGAAGAGAGAGAACAATATGGACCCAAAGAGTAATCACGAGTCATTGTTTCTGGCCAAAAGGACTGAGTAGGGGAGGAGGGACTTGTTTGAAAGAAGAAGCTGAGTCCTGGGCTGCACAGCACATTATAACTACCATAAGTTCAGCCAGTTATAAAGACAGAGAAAACGTCTCCAACGTATCTTAACAGATTATAGTTTCTATGTTTCTGAAATGGAATCAATAATACGCTATAGCATGACTGTGAGCTTTACATAAAGTGACAGTACTGTATAAGGCTATTAGCAGCTGCATTATAACACATCTATGAGGAGTATTTGCTGGTTAGCAGTAAAGTGAAAGACAAAAACATATTCACATTTGATTATCAAAGCCATGTGAAGTCTTTATTTTCCAAAACTCACTTCACATTTTCACAAGAAGTGCTGCTGACTCACTGCCTGCAGGTGGCGCTGCTGCAGAGCACTGACTGTACAGAGAGCAGTGGGAGGTTTGGGGGGCTGCTGTCTCAGGCACTAACTACAGTTACAAGAATCAGACAGATTTTAGGACATGTGTCAAACTAAGACAAACTTGTTTAGAACTTCACCTGGGAACTAGATTTAAACAATTGTAGCTAGCACGACCATAAAATATTCTGTTTACAGATCAGCATGATTCACGTGGGTCACATCAGGAAAAATGTTTTTAAATAAACCCTCAAAAAAACACTCCTTGGCAGAGGGAGCGATGGCTCATACGACTGCATGATGGCACTGTGATATAAATATCATGAAGGATAGCCAAGAGTATAACATCATACTTTCAGACAAATCACAGCACAGGAATCCAGGCCTGGTGAATTATATCAGCTAATATCATCTGCAACCGTCGCTGTTTAACACAGAATTTGATTCATTTTGCTTGAGATGAGGGAAACAAATTGGTTCACCACAGACTGAGAATGTCTAGTTATCAAATCAATTCCATGTTTAAATCAATTGATTTTGTTAGTGTCCATGTTTATCTTTTTCTGCACAAAAAGAGTAGCCAGCTATAACACTTTAGTTTTGGAGAAATTTAAAGGAAAGCCAAGCTTTGGAGACCCCTGCCCCTATTCTTTCCTCCCTATTATCCTCATAGCTATTTTGTGCGTGCTGGCCAGCCTGCTTTTCAGCTGCACTGTGAAGTTGCCAAACCATGCAGTGAATCCATATCTAATGATGCTCTCTAGGATCGCCCTGTAGAACATCAGCATGATCTGGCTGCTCACACCGTACAGACGCAGTCGCCTTAGAAAGTACAGTCTCTGCTGCAGTCGATTACACAGGTGATCAATGTGTGTTTTCCAGCAAAGAAGGTTGTCTATATGGACACCTAAATATTCATACGAGGACACTTTTTCTGGTTTTTGATGACCACTGGCTTATGGTCAGTCACTTGCCTCGGGTCAAAGACCATCTCCTGTGTTTTGTGACATTTAGAATGAGATGGTTGGTGTCACACCACTTAATAAAGGGGGCTATCTCATTATGGAACACAGAAGGGTCCATGTCCTTGTGGAGAAGGCTCAGGATCGCTGCATCAGCAAAAAGTAGAATAAAATGGAAATACTCAACGCTGTACTTGAGTAAATGTACTTAGTTACTCTCCACCACTGTAATAAAAAAAAGTTGAATGCCATTCTAGAGCGTTATATTATGACGCAGTGATGACGTATAAAGGACAGCCCTTTGATAACGAGTAGTAGGCAATAATTCTTGCCTCTGATACGTCACTGTCGGCTGTCTTCAGTGTATAAAGGGAACATCCAGCACACACAACGGACATTTCCCGCATCATGATACTCACACTCGGTGTCGTTGTGGGTACGCTCGTTACTAAAGCTGCCCGGAGACTCTTCGAGTCATACTTCCAACCAGGCCACGATGAAGGACACGAAGAACAGGTGCAGAGCTTTGATGAGACAGGTTCAGAATCAGAGAGCAAGCCCAGAGTCCCAGCTGCTGCCTCAGAGAGCGCAGCGGTTTCACACACTGCTGTTGGAGAGGTCGGTGCCACGGTGCCATGCGTTAAAGGGCTCGGTGACAACGACGCAGAGCACAAACTGGGGACAGATGTTGTCGCCAGTCGTTGTAAGACCATTTGTAAGTTTCCAAATGGCTTCAGTAATTGCTGGATGAACGCAACGGTGCAAGCTGCGCTTCACCTGAGGGTTGTGCGGGAGAAATTAACGCACCAACCCTCGGAGGCCTTAATAACGCTGTCAGCCACACCAACGTTTGCGGGGCTGTTTTTAACAGCCCTGAAAACCCCAGGAAGGCTGTTCCCACCAACAGAAGTGCACAGTGCTCTGGTAGAACTCAGCGCGGCTCAGCCAGCGTTACGTCTGTACCAGACGAACGATCCGCTGGATGTACTGGCTGACTTATTGCTCTGGTTCGACGCATGTGGGGTGCAAACAACGACCCAGTTAATAGAGAAGGAAAGGTGTGGAGAGTGTAGATCCACTACCTGTACCACCTCCACCCTGGGTAGTGTTCTTTTTTTACCACAACCCAGTGCGCACGCCACCACCTTCTCGCTTCTTAACCTGCAGGCTTTCAGTCCAACACAAGGACTGCAATGTGCGGCATGTGGTTCCGACGTAGAGACAGAAATCTTGTGTAATAGCCCTGATATTGTAACACTCCACTTATCTCGAGCATCCCCTGATGGATCAGTACTCAGAGACCCCATCACTCCGTCTAAGTTTGTAGAACTCCCTGTGAGTGGAGAGCAGACACAGCTCTACAGCCTGTCCTCCGCCATCTGCCACAGCCATACCGCCAGTAGAGGGCACCTTTACTCATATCTGTTTTATGACGATAATATGACCATCAGGGCGGACGACCTTTACATTTCAGCATCAGGGGGCAGACCAAATAACCTGCTGGATCAAGGGATAGTCTACCTCTATGAAAAGGTGCACAGAGACCTGGGATAGTTCCACAAGGACAAAACAAAGTAGTCTCACATCTATAGGCCTATAGGCTTAGACTATTGGGGGATTTCCCATGGTGCACTGAGCTCCTCTCTTCCTCTCTCTTTCTGCACTCATTCATGTCCCATTAATGCATGTTACTAACTTCACTTCTTCCCCGGAGTTCTTGTGCTTTCTCGTCTCGCAGGTTCTCATGGATCCTGGTGGAGCCTCCTGCCATGGTCCTGCTTGACTGCCATTGCTAATATCACTGATATTAGTGTTATTATTATTATAAAGTATTTTTATAGCTACAGTTACTGTTATTACTATAATCACTGCTTGTTGTCCCCCATCGTTGTTGTCGCCGTCGTCATCGTCTTCTTCATGTTCATCATCATCAGTCACTACTATTAGTGTAGTTGTTGCTACTGTTGTTGTCTGTCTGTTTGTCTGTCTGTCTATCTGTCTCTCTCTCTCTCTCTTTCTCTGTCTCTCTCTCTCTCTCTCTCTCTCTCTCTCTCTCTCTCTCTCTTGTCTTTCTCTCTCTCTCACCCCAACTGGTCGAGACAGACGACCACCCACCTAGAGCCGAAGGATCTGTCCGAGGTTTCTGACACTCATTACCTGTAATCATTTTATACAATCATATTTTTATTATATTTAATGTAATGTATATAATATATATGTATAATATATATAGTCAATGTATAATGTAAACCTCATGTAGCCTATGTATAATTTATAAAATCACTAACTATCATAAAACAAAATAAATTGCAGAATATATTTATATGTGTGTGTGTGTGTGTGTGTGTGTGTGTTGTGTTTGATAGCTTTCTGTCTGATATATTTGATGAAGGTTCACTGTCAGTGTTGGAGGAAATGTGCAATGACTGTGGATTATTCACATATCTTATGCACCGTCCTGCAGGGATCTGGCAAGACATAAAAGTGGAGATTTAAAAAAATGAAATATGCCATCCCAATGGATCCTGCGTTGTTTTTGCAATCAAAATGTATTGGGCAAAGACCAAATATCCAATCTGAGCAATGTACATGTATCAATGTATCATACCCAAAAAGCATTTTTAGTGCAGTCCTGTAAATTGAACAAAGCCTCATAAGCACTGTGACACTGGAGGGGACCATAAAAATGCCTGGCCACCACTGTTTGGTGTCAAATACTGTCAAATGTAACACATGAATGAATTTTGAGAAAATAACGTGTTAACATAATGAAATTATTGTATGGCCACATCTTAAACAAATGTATTTATTTAGAATTACATCTTTTGAGTCATGATATCTTCATTTTGATATATGTGATTGTTTGTGAATAAAATCAGCATATATTTCTGCCACCTGTAAAGGCACATACAGTCACGTATATCAATATTTGCTTGGAAAAGCACCTAAATGAAGATATTTGAACTCTAAAGGTGCTTCAGAAATCCATAAATTGTTTTATTTCCACCATTGGGTTTCTAGGAATCTCCTCAAAATCTCTTTCAGCTTCATCTTCAACCATATTTTGCAAAATGGTGGCGAGCCAGAGCAAACGCATAGGCTACATACCCACCACAAATCTATTTACTATAATTATGTTTAGAGAAATGACACCCAAATTAGTTATTTTTTTGTCTTTGCTACCCCGTTAATTATCTCACAATCAGCAGCTACAACAGTAAGGTTGCTTATGTATCGATGCATCAGGATTAACACCATTCTTATATCTGACCATATCCAGTTATTGAAGCCCTGTCTTGTTGAAGAATGTTATTATTTGACATCATTCATGTTTCTAATTCCATTTGATAACTTATCTCTAACTGACACACATCAGCCTGGGGCTCTATATCTGTGTTCCTTTATAGAAGCACTGGTTGGTACACAGAGTGGGACAGAGAGGGGGTCAGAGGGGTCAGAGCCTCTGCTCCTAGCACAGGATGGGTTGAACGCAGAGGGAAAATGTTTATCTATATCTATATCTCTATCTATATCAATGCGTTGTACTATGATTGTCTATGTGGCATTAAAAGTACCATTATATTGACAATGAGTCATTAATGTTTCCATGAAGTTGTTAATTAATCAACCAGCAGGGGGCGCCTGACAACCGCATCATAGTAGTAGAGGCGTCATCCACCTTGTATCCATGAAATGTGTTCATTCTGTGAGCCTGTTGGAGTTCTCCTTCATGGGTCTGCTTGTGATCCATCTCTTCCAGCTCACATGATTTGTTTTCCATGAATGCTTTTACTAAATGTTAAACACTGTGTTCAAAAACATTTATACTAAATTATGTTTACATTATGAACTAATTATTTCAGGGAAAACAGACCTCCTTTTATACTGGAATATATAAGGACAGGAGAGATAAAATATACCGTGAAGAAGGTTATTAAGTATTTATTAGTGAGTAGACACACCACCTGTGTGAAGATACTGTAGAGGGAAAACAGTCAGTAAGTTCGTTATAAACTCTACCTCGACGACCATACTGTCTTTAATTCCTCACATTAATATTATAGACTTTTTGTTGGGGCGCTCAACACGCTCCGTTAGGAATAATGGGACAGGTGAATTTGGATTGCGGTAACCATAGTGAGCCATAAGAAACTGGGTCAAGTTAGCCAGGAAGAGATCAGGAAGTCACGAGCTTTCAGATTCAAAATAAAAGCGTGACCCTAATCCTGAATCCCATTCCAGCATACTTTTGTCAGTATATTTTATTTTGACATGTAAAGCCGGAAATAATCATGTTAGTCGGGCCACTTTGACAACTCCTCCGCCAGAGAAGGCTCTAATGTCGACTAAACGAAAGAAACTTCAAAGTAGCTCGACAAGTTTTGTTTAAAAGTGTCGGACCAAACGTTACTCTTGTCCGTGTAATGTAAACCTTTGTCTTCCGACGGGAGCGGGAAGTACGGCTAGTTTGGGCCCGTCCAGTTAACGTTGGGCTGCTAGTTGGGAGGTCCACCAAACTGTACCATGCATATGCTAGCGTCAAACGGAACCATAATGGACTTGGATTCGGAGTTGGTGAAAATGAAAGCACACTACAGCGGGTAAGTAGCTAGCCCAAGGCAACAAGCAGGCGGTGGTTAGCCGGCTGGCTGTGATGAAAGGGGACACACCTGTGGAATGATGTGTGGCGGTGTTACGGGTCAGTGTGTAGGGGTCGTCTTGTTACCGTTTCAGCAGGGCTCTTGAGATCAAGCTAGGTCACAGTGACACTGCACTCCTGTATACCGACCAATGTAAAACTCAACCAGGAATAAATCCAAATAATGACAATAACAGTCACTGTAGGATGCTGAGAAGAATATTGAATAATTGGTATCATTTTTAGGGGAGTGCGGGGTCGGTTGTCACACTTTTTCCTTTCATTGATTCCCTTTTTTAATGTGTAAGGGTAGCCTGAAGGGTCAGGTAGGAATGGAGAGATCATAAACTCATTGTGGTGAAAAGAAATGGACTGTCAAAGACGTCATCCCCATTGTGGGGTTAGTTGTCTCTTACTAAAATGTTATTCTAATCGAATTAAAAAGGAGGAAATCTTAAAAATGAATGAAAACAGTTTGAAAAACAATGAAAGTTTAATTTCAACGAAATGCAACAACCTAACATCTCCTGCATCAGACAACATACACAAGAAAAGTCATTATTTATCGTGATGTAACAATAGAAAGAACAATACACAGAACCAGTAATAGCAGGAATGCACTGATTGGGGAATTACGGACTGATACAGATGTTTAAAATAGCAATTTGGCAGATATCACTTTTTTGTGCTTCAATGCAATGGCAACAAATAAATCTAGAAAGACAAGCACCTCTGGCCTGTTGCAGCTCAGTCTGTGTGTCTTCTCATCCAAGATGTGAGACTCAGAGCTGAACAGCTGTTCACTGTCCCTGCTGTGGCATTTGCATGCAATTAGTGCAAGTGCTGGAAAGCTGAGGTGATTATTTCTTCAGTATGCAAGTTGGAAATTACCAACACAACATTTAACCAGCACTAAATTGATACAACTCAACAGATAAACATCGGCCACTGATATCAGACAATGCCATCTTATTGGCTGATAGGCCTCTGCCATCAAGGCCAATACCGGCCAATACAGAGATTTTTTTCAACTTAATTTATTTGTATAACCCCTAATGATAATATCATAATGAAAAGTAACTCAGGACACTTTTACAAATACAGCAGGTACAGACTGTACTACTTATTCAGTGATTTACAGAGACCCAACAATTCCCACCATGAGCAAGCACTTGGTGACAGTGACAAGGAAGAACTTCACTTTTAGATGCAAAAACCTTGAGCACACCTCAACTCTGGGTCGGTGGTCATCTGTCTCGACCAGTTGGGGTTAGGGAGAGAGGGGTACTGAATATTTAAGTACCAACATTTTAAACAGCATCGTCTAGAGAGCCAGATCTAATGAATTTGAGAACCAGCCCTGTTCTCTCCTATTTTATTTTAGAATATGCTGTTAACATCAGTGGCTATTTATCCTTGTGGGTGTCGTCTGTTGGTGTGTTCTCAAGCTCCTTTAGTTTTGTGGTAATTGTTTGGTTGGACGTTGACCTGGAACCTATAATTATATATGACAATCACACACGAATGCCCACCACGACTGCCGAAACCAAAGTGAGTCTTCATTTATTTTCTGATCTTTGAGTTAATGTGAATGAAGTTTATGATATTGCGGCGGCACACTTTGATGGTGATGGCAAGAATTATACATCAATAATAGCCTAATTTTATGAATAATCCATCATGATGAAAATACAGATAAATAGAAATACATGGCAAAAATAGCATATTGTCAATATTTTAGAGACCCCTCAAAATTTCACAAATCATGTTTTCAGGAGAGCTCATGTCTTATTAAGAGGAGCCAAGCTAGCCAAGTAGTTTTCACGCCATTGTTTGGTTTGCCAGTCCCTTTGCCAGCCCAAGACTCATTCATTACCATTTTTATTATGTTAATCTTATTTATTTTTATTATACTTTGACCTTTATTTACACTCAGGTTTTGATGCAACAAGCAACAACAATACATGTTAGATGTTATGTTTCTGTCTTGGTGCATTTATGTTTAGCCTGATGTTTTCTCTGTTATATCCTGTTATATCCTGGTCCGGGAGAAACAAAGTTCATTTCAACCTTACTATATTTTTGTATTTATGAAATGATAAACCTAAAATTTAAAGTCTGCAACTCTAACCTTGCCACAGTAAGCATGATTCTGTGCATTATTCTAAATGTTAGCATGGCAACTGTGAGTGCGAAATAGTAATGATTGGTTAACAGCATGCTAATGCTAATGTTAGTCACGTACAGCTGATTTGATCAAAGTATCAACTAGAGCCTGACTGAAAGGATTTTCTTGTAGCAGATTATTATTAGGGTAAACCGGTAAATTGTATTTTTATTGTCATCGCAATATCAACATGCGAGTCGAACACATCGCAAGTCACTGTCTGAAACATCATTTTATTTAGGGATGGGCCCAGGAACCAGGAGTTAAAGGTCCAGTGTGTAACATGTAGGAGACTATTGTCAGAAAGACTGGATTGTTTGCACTGTGTGTGTACAGCCCCCGGTGGGTACTAGGGATGGGTGATAACACAAAATTTTGTATCAGTCTTATACCAAGTAATACAGTGCCAGAATAGCCAATACTAACACTTTTTATTATTAAAAGTAGCTTATGCACTTTAAATTATGTAGCACAAGGTCCAGTTTGTAACATTTAGGAGGATCTATTGTCAGTAATAGAATATAATAATTCTAGGTATGTTTTCATTCGTGTATAATCACCTGAATATAAGAATCATTGTGTTTTTGGTGTTTTTTTGATGTTGTACTGGATTAACAGTAACAGGGTCCACAGTATACCGGGCCTGGCATACACTGGCATCTCATGATTAAGAGATCAGAAAAGGTTAAACAGACTAAAATATAGAAGCCTGAGAATGAAAAGCCACCTTGTCCAGTAGCCTATTAATCCAGTTAGCATGCTGTGTGATGCGTTGTTTTGTACTGTTTTCTACTCAGGGGAGTGAAGGGTTTTCAGATGACTAAGAGAAAGAGTTTTAAAATGAACATTCTTCATTTTATCTGATTTCTTGTCTGATTTTTAGTTTTATTCAGGTTGATTAACAATAAGTGTAGATAGATGGGGGGGATAGTCAGGATATATGTTGGCATGTTGCTGTGAATGTCAGAGAACTGCTGCTGCTCAGGTAGCAGTTTACTGATGTAGAACTTACTAAGAACTCTGAATTGGATCAAAAGTACTTCTCAACTCTCTTAAGCTTGTGTGTATACATGGGCATCTTCACGAGTGCCTGATCGGTGCAGCACTTGAGCACCTCTTAACAGAGATGAGAAGGAAGTGAGAAGGCTCACTCCTTAGCTACTTCCATCATCAGTTTCATTCTTTTCACCATTTGTCAATCGGGCAAGTGAGTTGTTAGATTCACTGGCCCAAAGTTGCATTTTACTTGCCCTGGGCAAGTGGGCAATCCTTATTGCTGAGCCCTGGAGGCTGCCCCACAATCATCCATCACCATATCTAAGATATCGTCATAACCGTTAAGGCCTTTAACAGAGCTGTTTACTCTCAGACCGTGTGGGTTTATTTCATGCACATAGGTTTCTTAATTACCTTGATTTACTTTATTGGTGTTTCCCAGGAGGTTAAAAGTGAAAACAGGACTGGATTGTGAATGTCGGTGGAACCCCAGTGACAGTGTGTGTTACCAAACACAATATTTGAGCTCAAGGTGGCAGAAAGGTTTTGATTAGAGGGATCAAAGATCAACATGTTGAGGTAGGTTTATGCTCTTGTACATGACCAATCCCTTCGTGTGCAGAGCGCTCTGGAGTATGCACTCAGCAAATAGTGCAAGGGTCAGCCACAGAGTCTTGAGAGGTTTTTCCCAGTGTATTTGGCTTTGACAGGTTTTTTTTTTTTTTCAACGGAGTAGAAAGTATTCTTTTTAGTATGTCTACAAAGAGGACAGAGAGGAAAAATGAAGTAGGCTACCCTTTTAACACATCATGTTTAATTCTATTAAGGTTATGGCAGTGTAAGTATAATAAGCACAATAATATAATAATAAACTGTTGATGATATTTAAAAGTAAATCTACAATATAATGGATCATACTCATATAGACTTCATATTGATCACATCAGAGTAAACTAAACCTGATTTACCAATACCGGTATTGGAAATGCCTCCAATACTGCCTAAAAGGCTGCATCTGTGGACTATAACATCTCCAATTCTTTAGCCCCAAAACCGGGACCCTGGTTCTTCCCAGCAGTATCCTGTTGGCCATTTGTTTCTAAGGATGTTGAAGTCATGACCTGCCCTACTCTGACTCTTATTGCCTTACTCTGATATTCTTACTCTGGCCCTAACCAAGCTCACTCCTCATGCCTAAACCTAACTAACCCAAACCAACAAAGGCAACAAGTACTAACCAATCAGGATCAGGTCATGTGTCCTGTGCTGCCACTGGGTACTGGCAACTACTGTTTTAGAGCAGAGGAGAAGAATTGATAGTGTAACTTTAGCCAGAGTCGGCTAAATGTCAGCAATTTGACGGACTGTCAAACTGGATAATAAAAGAAAGTTCTATGAATTTCATTCTCTGCATGTTTATGTTTTACAAAGGGGTTAAACTGAGCTAGAACATATATGATAGCCATCAGGTGGTCTCTCACATCAAAACAATAACAAAAGACGAATTTTGATGATGTCATGGGAGTTGTTGTATTCACCACCATTGCCATCACTGCAGTCAGCTTCTCCCGGTTAGGATTCCTTCAGTGTTCATGGTTCAGGAGGTTTCTACCAGGAGCCCAGTTATCCACAGAGGTCTCCTCCACTCCAAAACAAACAGAAAGCTACTAACGTTAGCTCCGCTTGTTTCTCTGATAACTTAAGATCCAGACGTCCGATGACTAAAATCCTTCATCCGGTTCAAATCTAGAGTTAAAAGGCACCAAGATCTAAACAGTGGATGGTAACAATGTGGCTTCAGACTGGATAAACAGTCAATGTATGACAGCTTCTGGCAGACAACCACAATGCTGATGCAGGCACAAAGGGGATATAACGCCATTGACAGGCGACCACTAAAACGCAGCGTTACCTGAATAAAATGAGTCTGAACATTGTTGGAAACGTTAGGGATAATGGAAGAATACAACTAAACTACATACAGAACAAAGGTGTATTGATAGCATAACATTATATTATATATGTCATAGACATTTTAATGTGGAAATGTATGTAATGTACATAAATAACTGTGTGTGTATACGCAGTTCAGGAATCACAATCAGGAAGGAAGAAATGGTATGGGAACATCTCTCTGTGTGTGTGTGTGTGTGTGTGTGTGTGTGTGTGTGTGTGTGTGTGTGTGTGTGTGTGTGTGTGTGTGTGTGTGTGTATGTGTGTGTGTGTGTGTGTGTGTGTGTGTGTGTGTGTGTGTGTGTGTGTGTGTGTGTGTGTGTGTGTGTGTGTTACATCATTCCACATTGTGTGGAGCATTGCCTGCTGGGAAGCAAGCTGTCTCTGCTACACCTTGTCAGAGTCCAACAAACACACGCCATAAATATGCGCGCACACACACACACACACACACACACACACACACCACACACCCAGAAACCTGTCAGACACACTGACGTGGGCTCAGTCATTGTAGCTCCTGCACTTACACATTCAGAAGCGTGTTTCAGGTGGTGTTATTTGTAAACGCACATATTCAGCTGTATGCTCGGCCCCGTCTGCTTTCGAACCGTGATTTTCTGCAGCTGCACTGTTGAATGTGAATACATTCTGCCCACAATGTCACATTCAGCCAGCAGCAGAGCAGTGAGGGTTGATGTTGAAACTGAACATGCACTCCCATATTTAAAAGAATCATCCACTGATAAGGGTGTTTGAAGGCCAGTACCTATATGGAGTAAGCCACTTGGTACTTGCTGTTTCTTTTCAGCGTTCACAATCAGGGATGGTAAAGAATTTATGGCAGTTGGTTTCAACCAGTGTCTGTCCCAGCCCTCTAGTTTACAGCTTTAGTATTCAAATTAGTACAAAGTCTCTCTTTACAATATTAAAAGCATTCTGACTCAACTTGCCAACTTTGTCTTTCCAGGGATTTCTTACGAGTTGTGATTTGTTCAATAACCAGAGCACAATCAGTACATCTCAACTCCTAAGTTCATCCTTCAACCATTTATGATTGGAAAAATCTCTTGTCTGTCTTTTTGGTACCAATTTAAAAGTGTCTGTATTAAAGTTCACATCAAATGTCTGGTCAGTCACACTCTGGTTCACTCTTCCTTTATCCAACTGTTCCTGAATCACAAATTTACAGTATGTGCTGTATTAAGGCAATGTTCTTCAGCTGCTTGTGTTTAGAAAAAATGTAATGCTTGAGAACACTGGGTTCTCTAGGATTCAGGAGCAAAATGCTAGAGCACCAGCATCTCCGACCAAAACAATGGGCGCTACCGACCAGACTCCATTGACAGAAACAAAATAAAGTTCACCAAAACCATCTTTGTTAGTCTTTGCACAAACCACTGAGAGGCTGCAATAGCAACACAGACAAAGGGAGAATATCAATATCCGTGAAGCTTTGAATAATCCAGGTTGTTAAAACCACTTATGGATGTTCTGAAAGCATTTCAACAATCCTTCAAGTGTCTTCCAACCATCTGAATGAAAAATATTTGCTCCGCTGCATGATAAAAAAGATTTTCATCCTATTTAGAAGTACAAACACTATTTATTATTCCAAACAAGGTGACAGCCTGAAATACTTTACGGCATTACTCTTTTTGTAGGATGTGAGCCAAAACTTTTACATTTTTAAAGTTACATTTGTGAAATGAGTTATAAATCTGTGCAACACACATATTTTTTATGGAGATGGTTAGGAGAATCTTTGCGGTTAAATGCACAGTATGTCATTTCTGCCTCTAGGGGATCTTTCCCATCAAAACAATAGTAGACAACCACAACGCTGACTAGTAAACTGATCTTCAGGTCCAAAATCAGTCGAGTGCCTCTTAATTTTGTCTATTTGATGCTGTTTAACAGCTGCATAATCTACTCTGAATGTTAACTTGTGTGCAAGCTAGTAAACAGCTGAGACTGACCTGAGCCAATACACACAACAGACATGCCCAGTGAATTACATGGTTCTGCAGTCAGTGTTTCATTAACTAAGCCAACAGTTCCCTCCATGCTTTACTCTGTCAGACCTGATTGCACGTCCAAGTACTCTGTAGCCAGATAACAGCTAACTAATCGACCGATAACATAGGAGTGAGCCTCCTTGTCTGTATCTTACAATATCAGACCTTAGGGAAGGATCAATAATCATGAATGAATTCCTCATTGTGTTGTTGACTCCTTTTAACCCCCTGGGGGATCTCTTGATCTCTGCCCTACTAAAACAGTGTAACTCAAGTGACTTAATCTTGACATTTTTCTGTGTGTGTGTGTGTGTGTGTGTGTGTGTGTGTGTGTGTGTGTGTGTGTGTGTGTGTGTGTGTGTGTGCATTCAGGGACATGCTGATCACAGACTTGGCAGCCACGGTAACCTTTGTGGAGTTGTGTGAGGAGGTGAGAACAATGTGCAGCGTTGCCAAGCAGCAGCCCATCACGCTCAAGTGGATCGATGATGAAGGTGGGTGTGCCTCAAGGTAAAATACTGTACATCAGTCTGTGTACTCTGTCTCGACTGCTGTGTCCTTTTACGCTAGCACTAGACTCTGGCTCAAAAATGCACCATGAAAGCCCATTTCCTGGGCTTCTGGCCAGTCCAAAAGTCATCACTGCCACATCACACTGCACACTGGAATGGCCTGAAGTGCTCACATCCAGCTGCCCTCACTCTTTGCTTCCATGACCAAGAGGTCATGGTCAGGTTGGAGTCAAATCTGGTCCTGTGGCAAGGACTCAGCCTTAAGGCTGATTTAAAGTTGTATGTTGGCTCTACGTCAGGCCTATGTGAATAACTTAAGCCATTATCAGCATTTATATGTGTAATGCAAACAGCAATGCCAAAATGCTTGTTGGTGGTTGGTGTCTATGCCAAACTCTCCCATGCCTCTCTCTGCTCAATCTGTCTTGTGTTTTTCTCAGACAAGAGCATATCATGCAGTGAGGCTGCGTTCTGTGTGTCTGTTTGTGCCTGTGTGTGACTGTTTGAAGAGGGATTCTCAAACAGCATTATTAACTCATCTGGGTTTTACATGAGTCGCTGCACACATACCTCAAGCAGACCAATCACAGTTGTTTCAGGCTACATTGTCGTGATGTGTAGTTACATTTTTGGGGAGGTGCATGTCAGGCTACGGTGTTGATTCTACACAGAAGTATAAATCAGGCTCAACTCAACTAGGTGAGGTACCAGGGTGCCTCTTACAATACAAATATTGATGATAACATTATGAGCCACTGGGCACCCTGCTGGTCAGAATGTTCTGCAGCCCCATACCAACAGACTGCTCTGCACTGTGTGTTCTGACCCCTTTCTATCAGAGCCAGCATTAACTGTTTCAGCAGTTTGAGCTACAGTAGCTCGTCTGTTGGATCGGACCACACAGGTCAGCCTTCACTCCCCACGTGCATCAATGAGCCTTGGCCCCCCATGACCCTGTCTCTGGTTCTTTTCCTTCCTTGGAGCACTTTTGATAGTTACTGACCACTGCAGACCGGGAACACCACACAAGAGCTGCAGGTTTGGAGATGCTCTGACCCAGTCATCTAGTCATCACAATGTGGCCCTTGTCAAAGTGGCTCAGATCCTCATGCTGCCCATTTTTCCTGCTTCTAACACATTAACTTTGAGGACAAAATGTTTACTTGCTGCCTGATATATCCCACCCACTGACAGGAGCCATGATAACCAGATAATCAGTGTTATTCACTTCACCTGTCAGTGCTCACAATGTTATGGCTGATCGGTGTATGTGTAAATACACTGCCCGTCCCAAAAAAAATCAAAACCTAGATTTAACTAAACAAATTGGTAAGAGCCTTCCATTGGATAATTACTGCAGTGATCAATATGTTTCAGCTGGCAACAAGTTATTTAACCCTAGCTGATGCATTGAGTAGCTTCTCATTTCTTAAACAACCATATTGGAAGACATATCCTGTGGTCGTGGAAAGGATGTTAATCAGTTTCAGAAGGGTCAAATTATTTGCCTGCATCAAGCAAAGAAAACAACTAAGGAGATTGCTGAAACTACTAAAATTGGAAGGAAAACCTGGAAGGATAGTGGTGAACCATCCTCTTCGAGGAAGAAATGTGGTCGGAAAAAACTCTTGAATGATTGTGATCGGAGATCGCTTAAACGTTTGGTAAAATCTTATCGTAAGAAATCCACAGTAGAACTCACAGCTATGTTTAATAGTGAAAGTAAGAGCATTTCCACACGCACAATGCAAAGGGAACTCAGGATTGGGACTAAACAGCTGTGTAGCCATAAGAAAACCACTGATCAGTGAGGCTAATCGGAAAGAAAGGCTTCAACTTGCTAGGGAGCATAAAGATTGGACTTTGGAGCAATGGAAGAAGGTCATGTGGTCCGATGAATCCAGATTTACCCTGTTCCAGAGTGATGGGCGCATCAGGGTAAGAAGAGAGGCGAATGAATTGATGCACCCATCATGCCTAGTGCCTACCGTACAAGCCTGTGGGGGCAGTGTTATGATCTGGGGTTGCTGCAGTTGGTCAGGTCTAGGTTCAGCAACGTTATGTCCCCAAAGAATGAGGTCAGCTGACTACCTGAATATACTGAATGACCAGGTCTTTCCATCTATGGAGTTTTTCTTCCCTAAAGGCACGGGCATATTCCAAGATGACAATGACAGGATTCATTGGGCTCACATTGTGAATGAGTGGTTCAGGGAGCATGAGACATCCTTTTCACACATGGATTGGCCACCACAGAGTCCAGACCTCAGCCCCATTGAGAATCTTTGGGATGTGCTGGAGAAGACTTTGTGCATCAGTGTGACTCTCCCATCATCAATACAAGATCTTGGCGCAAAATGAATGCAACTCTGGACGGAAATAAATGTTGTGACATTGTAGAAGCTTATCAAAATGATGCCCCAGCGCATGCGTGCCGTACTCAAAGCTAAAGGCAGTCCAACGAAATATTACAGTGTGTGACTTTTTCTTTGGATGGGCAGTGTATTTGTAAAACACAAGTGAAGAATGTGGATCCAGGAAGAAGTTAAGCAACCTTAGGTCTAGAAGAGGACACACAGCACACATGCAAACTAGGGGAACAAAGATCCAGATACAAAACGTCTGGATGAGGCACCGACAGCCAGGATAGACAGAGGTTACTATTAATATTAATAGTAATATGAATCAATAATTTTGAGTCTGTGTAAGAGTTTGAATTGTGTTTAACTTTGCAGCCTCATCTGGGTGTCACTAACCCAACGTAAATCTGAGAGGTTGTGAGATGTTTAACAGTACAAGGAAGCAGAAAATAAGTACATTTGTTTTTTAGGCTTCTTTTTATCTTGGCTACCTTTCTTCTAAATTACTGGATAATTTGATCTCTGCAGGCCTCTATAAATGATTCAAATAAAACTGTGTGAGAAGCCAGATGTAAGACAGGAAAGAGTGTGTAGAACAGAGAAGAGTGTGCAACCTATAAACAGAATAGTACATTTTTATAAATTTTCTCAATGGACTAACTTCTAGTCAATGAAATAATACTAAAACTAAAATAATATTCACAATTTTTCTAGTGGACCGACTGAGGTAGTGCATTACCTCCAATGTTGCTGCTGGTATATGTTCTGTGTACAAGACATAAAAAATCAAAACCTTGAAATACCAGGTTTGGTCTAAACACCTTTGGTTTCATGACAGGCTGAAATTTGAGCCAGCACAGCAGGTGAAGATAAGAGATATTCCAATGCTACCCCATTTAGCCAGACCGAATGTGTTTGTGTAAAGTGGATGATGCGAAGGACAGAATTAGATGACTATTATAAAATGCATGTGTTTGAGTTTGTGTGTGTCTTTTTTCATTTAGGGGACCCTTGCACCATCTCATCACAGATGGAGCTGGAGGAGGCATTTCGCATTTACAATCGGACTAAGAGGTCTGGGCTGCTGCTGCATGGTGAGTTAGCTCCATCATTTTTAAACTATTTGCCACAATGGATAACTTTATAAGACTAAAAACAACCCAGTAAATGGCAATATACCTTAGCAAGCATGTAACATTTGAGGAATTACAAGCCACTTAAACTTTTTGCAACTCTTTGTTCATGGCTTTCCTTCCTAATATTTTGATGACTTTTTTGTGAACCTTTGGTGAGGATATTCAGGTATAAAGAGTTTGTGTGAACTTGAAATTATGTAAATTCAGGGTGTTCAGCATCTGGATTGCATATGGGTTAGGCTTTTAATTTTCTCACATATCTGCTTGTTGACAGGAGAAGAAAAACAGCCAACTGGAATGATGAATGATTTGCTTTTCTTTTTTGTAATTTGCAGTGTTCCCAAGTATCCCGGAGAGGCCTGGCATGCCCTGCCCAGGAGAGGACAGTGAGTGCATCAGATCCAATTTCACTCTCTATCCCCCTCTAGGATTGCCAATTACAGTCAGACTCATAATGCTATGTAGACATGGATGCACAGTTATCAGAACTGTCAGTCCGAGGTGGAAGTGTAGAGGACATCTCACTACCAAACCTCAGTCAGCCATGATTCAGACTTAACACCGCTCACAGAGTTACAGTTGTATACCAGACAAGAGAAGTAAGTTTAATAAGGAGTTTACAATTGTCCAACTGGTAAAAACTGGAAACCTACCCTGGCTACACCAGATGGGCAGGCACTTTCCAAAAATACTTCACTGTCCATCCTAGGTGAACTTCAACCAATCACATCTACAAATCATATAACCTAGTCAAACTCTTACCGAAAGCAGTCAGGATCAGCAATTTTTCCACAGAGAAAAGTCTTCAGTGCCGTTCTTTGCTCTTCTTTCAATGTAGCCTGGCGAGATGGATTCTTGCGCGAGCTCATGATTTTGTGATCTTGCGAGTCCAGCTGCCTAGCAAGGTTAGGAGGAACCAGGGTCTTAATTTAATTACTTAGCCATAGTTTCTTGCGGCAAAAAGTCCCGCTACCGTAGTACTTTTTGATGGTCCAGGAACTATCGGGGCAGAGTTTGCAGTACTGAATGTCACAAATTTGGTCAAATACATGCCTCACAGATACAACAGCTTACAGTTAAAACATTAAGAACAAAGTTGTCAACTTCCTGACAAGTGTAAAAAGACCAATATAAAGAGAGCCAAAGTAAAATTCACTGGCTCTATTAAAATAATCGTAAAATAACAAGTTACTGACAAAGTTAAACTGCTACTTTAATTACATGATATCAAATTCTGCTTTAACACTGCACATTCAAATGGCTTGGTAGAGGAAAGGACATGGGGTCATTAAAATCAAAAAGGTTTGTGCTTTTGGGAGCACGACTGTGCTCAGCCAAATTCATGGCAGTCTTTCTGTTAGAGTATCTTGAGTGCAAGTTGGACAGTTTGTCCCGAAGACCTGATCACACCAGCAAATGAATGGTTTCAATAAGTGGATTACTCATGGAGGCTTCAACTTTGGTGAACTTTGACATGTGAATTCAAGGCTTTGACTAATTGCAAAGCATCTTGACAGTGCTGTACTCTGAGATAATGGAGAGCCAGAGAGTCCAAAAATGAAGCAATCATATCAGCTGCGACTCATAATCCAGCTTTATAGGATGGTGCTCTGTCGGAGTATAACATTTACGTTTTTCATAAAATAATTGTATTTTTTTGTATTCAGCTGTGAGACAGAAATCGATTGTACAAATACAACTCTCAAAAAGAGCTGCAGCAAGGACTCAGCCTCGGTACATGGGTCGCCAGCTCTACCAACTGAGCTAATCGGGCACCCCATTTACATTTATTGTTAATTAGCTAGTTAGCTAACTTAAGCTGTGTGTGTGTGTGTGTGTGTGTGTGTGTGTGTGTGTGTGTGTGTGTGTGTGTGTGTGTGGTGTTGTGTTGTGTGTGTGTGTGTGTGTGTGTGTGTGTGTGTGTGGCTGGCTTAGAACTGGAGTTGGTCCCTGGGTGCGGCACAGTGGCTGTCCATCGCTCCTAACACTTAAGATGGGTCAAAACTTAAAAACTTAAAACTTGCTAACTAAAAAGGCTGGGCCATTTTGGGGTACGAAATGTATTTAAATAACCTTTGAAATGATCTTGAATTTGTGTGTAAATACTTGTGATGCAAAAAAATTACCATTTATACATGGCACGCTCTGTGTAAAAAAAGCCTAAAAAAATGTCTTAAAAATTAATATCAATTCAGTTATTGTGTAAATGTGACTACTCCCTATATTCTCTGCTGCACTGTCTCTCTCCCTTTCTCTCTCTCACGCACTCCCATGTTGTTTGCTGCACTCCCTCGCTGTCTATTTGCTGTGACAGCATGTTTCTGCAGCCTGTGGACTGCGCTCGTGAGTGTGCCTGTGTGTGTGTGTGTGTGTGTGTGTGTGTGTGTGTGTGTGTGTGTGTGTGTGTGTGTGTGTGTGTGTGTATATATGTATGTATGTATGTGTGTGTTTGATGGGAGGGGGGCCCTGTGCTTTTGCACTGAGGCAGACCACTGGTTTACTGTGTGAAGAGCCGGGTGTGACTCACTTCATTCTGTAGGTAGGTAATGAAGGATACACACATGTACAGTCTGACACACACCAAGTTAGTGTCTGTGTTTTGTGCATAGCTTTGCTTGTAACCTGTGGATGATATCTAATATTGTACATGTAACACTTATAACAGTGCCTTCCTGCTGTGTTTTCTCCAATTTAAACCTCATTTGCTTGCTGTTGATGTACATGCGTGGAAAGAGGAGGGAAGGATAGGGCTGTTCTATTCAGAGAGGAGAAGTGAGGAAGGAATGAGAATGGGTGGAGGAGGAGGGTGACACTCCTTCATTTTTAGAATGTGTTTGTGTTGTTCAAGGCTAACTCTGTGCTGATAAATCCTGATAAAATGTACAGTAGACAATACCTGTGAAGATATTGCAATTTCCACTCTAGCCATGCAATTTTTGGTTTTCTCTGGTGAGATTTTGTCCACTCAGACTTGCTACCACCACATTACTATATCTGAAAAACATATATACATATATAATATACTTATGTACTATACGGTGCACTATATGTGCTTTTTGACACTATATTGTGTCCTCAAAAATGTTATTGCTGCAATGAAAAAAGCAGTGTCCATAGTACGTACATTACATTACAAATAGTCCCTTGATGCAATGTTTTTTAATTTGCACAAGCATTTCGCTCACATATGCAACTGTAAGAGAGTGTACGAATGTGGAAACTGGTATGGGTGCACTGGTGCGAATTAGCAGTTCCAAATTATTCACAGCCTGGATATTCTTACGGTTGGTTATTACATTGGTACTTGACATAGTGTTGGTGTCATTTACCCTGGTTTCTACCCGTGTTTCTCAAAAAAAGCCTGTTCAACAAGCATACACTTGCAGAAAAGCAGTTTTTACCCGTTATGTCGGCAGACTGCTATCCATCACCTGCCGGTTCTTGGTATCTAGTTTCAGCCATTGTTTGCTATTAGACTAGTTGTTATAAACAATATGAACCTAACCTAACCTGTTTTGCCCAATTAGCCATGGGCCATTGGCACATTCCTTTAGACCTTCTGGGCAGTGGCCCCCACTTCCAAAGCAGCCCCACCTCCCTGCCCAGCATTGAATTGAATTGAAGGCAACACTGCCTTCCCCTGAAACAAAGTAGGCAGTGATTTTTCCATTAGTTCATCACTCCCTCCATCACCTGCCATTAAACTCTGATACGTACAGCTCTTCCTGTTTGTGCCACAAAGTAATCTGCCTGTGTTCTGTTCTGCAGTCCACTTAATTTCCTGCCAAACAATTTAAACTCCTGTATAAATGCATATTACCAAAATACCAAAATTGATATAAAAAGGTAGAGCTGACAACAATAAGCAGAGACTCCCCTTGAAAGCAACTAGCTTCTGGCTGTGTGTGTGTGTGTGTGTGTGTGTGTGTGTGTGTGTGTGTGTGTGTGTGTGTGTTGTGTGTGTTGTGTGTGTTGTGTGTGTTGTGTGTGTTGTGTGTGTGTGTGTGTGTGTGTGTGTGTGTGTGTGTGTGTGTGTGTGTGGATTGAACAGACCCCCCTCTGTGTGGAGAGAGAATGATGGAGGGAGGGAGGGAGGAGGTGGAAGTGTTGAAACCCTGGATGATGCGCTCAGTGTGGGCTGCCCTGCCTTGCACCGGATTCTCCAGCAGACCCCTCACCCTCCACCAAGCCACGCCCACCCCCCACAGCTCCACCCTCCCCCTCCCACTGCCACCACTTTTTCCCAGCATCCCCCTCTCTTTCTCTCAGCTGTGTGGCACTGCTATCTCTCCAGGGAGGAGTCTACAGCGCTGCTGCATCACACAAGGCACAGAGGCGGGCGAGGGACACAGTGTGAAAGTGAAAGACAGGGGGGGAGAGAGAGAGGGAGAGAGAGAGAGAGAGAGAGAGAGCATTGTACCGTGCAGATATCAGCTCTTAATATACCAGGCAGGCACTGCATTTTTTTCATCTATTCTTCTATTTTTGGCTGTGCCTGCCACTGCAAAAAAAAAACAGAGATACGACTTCATCGAGGATAACAAGTCCTAGAAGAAGGGAGGAACAGACAGAGAATTAAACAGCCTTGGGAAAAGCAAGGCGACTCTATCAGCTGTGAGGAGAGAGAGAGAGAGAGGGAGAGAGAGGAAGAAAGGGCGAATGAGTGAGCGAGGGTGGGAGGGAGGAAATAATTAAATAAATCCCAGGGAGGAGAGAGAAAGAGGGAGGGATCGTCAGAGAGAGGGAGAGGAGGGGATGTAGCAGTGTGTATCCTTGCTGGCTCACCACACATACACACATACACATACACACACACACATGTACACACATACACACACGCACACTTAGCCTGGATAATGTGCTGAAAGAGGTGGAGAGAAAGGAAGAAAGCAAACCGGTGAGCTATCTATCTCTGCATTCTTCCATCCATCCATCCATCCATCCATGTTTTCATCAATCCGTCTGTGTTTCCACGCCTTGTCCCCGAGACAATGGATTTAGACGAACGTGTCCTTGCCTGGATTCTTGTTTGTTGTGTGTGCGTGTGGGAGAGCTATCATGATTAGCATGTGTGATTGATTCATGCCTTATCGCTCGTCGTGTCACGCATTGCAGGCAGGGATTGTGTGTATGCAACCTGCTAGCTGTGCTAGTGCGGCTGCTGCCTGTGCCTGGCTGGCTTTCTTCACTGTTTTGTAGCCCTGGAAGGCTGTCTGGCAGTCCACTCAGAGGCTGCACCTGCCAACGAGTGCGACATGGTGTTGGTGTGCATATGTGTGTGTAAAGCTTGCATTGTTATGGCAGTGTGTGATTTAACCATTATATGCGGATGGGACTGGTCTTAAATTGAGATGTGTGTGTAGCCATGGAGTGGAGTGCCATCCAT